TATTCGATAGAGAGCTATAGAGTCTACTTGCGTGGTGTTTATTTACTTGTCGGAGAAAGGTTGCACCGAGTGTCTGAGCGCGTCGTCTGGGCGCCGCTCAGGCCTCGCACAGATGCCGGGTTGCAGAGTAAGACCTGGCGTCTGCTGCTTGACCGAGATTCCATCGAGGAGCTATCCAAAGGGCGTTCAGCCCGTTACAAGAGTTATTAATAACTCTAAATAGTGCTTAAAATGTCAAGGTTTTGGACACCTAGAGACTAGATGCTCTAAAGTAGCCTATCAGATCTGCAGCAAAGCCCACCATACTAGTCTCCACAAGTGCAAGTCTTGTACTAGCAAAGGCAAAGCCTGCGTACATACTATCTTTAAGTGTGCGAACTGCAGCAAACTACACGCGGCTAATAGCTAAGACTGTGAGATTCTACAAGCTAGAGTCTCTAAAACAACTACTTTGTTAAACTAGAATGTTAAAAGTTCTACAAATAAATGTTAATAGAAATAGCCCTGCTACAGAAAGCGCGCTAAATCTAGCTATTCAAGTAGACGCTAAGATACTAGCTATACAAGAGCCCTGGTTAGTAAAGGAATCTACCTACAAGAATACTAGATCAGTAGCCTACCAAGACTATACTTAGATAATACCTACCCTAAGAGATAACTCTCCTAGGCCTAGAGTACTTTTCTATATTAGAAAGGATCTAGAAGTAGAAACTATTCCTTTTATTAGCGACGACAACAACTTCTAAGCTATTAAAGTACTAGCTACTCCTTCCAGCTTCTATATCTACAACATTTATAACAAGAAGAGCCTCTAAGAGAGGCTAGAAAAATCAACAATCTAAAGGCGGCTACTATAAGAAACACTACAAGAAAACTCAATTATTCTAGGAGATTTCAATACCCACTATCCTAGATAGAGCTTAAAAGATTGCAGCCCTAGTACACAAGTAGAAGATCTAGTAGAGTGGATAGATACCTAGAATCTTACTCTACTAAATACTCTAGGAGTAGGCACATTCTTTAGAGCTTATATGCGACAAGAAAGCGTACTAGATCTCACTTTTGCAACAAATAATATAGCAACTAGTATCCAGGACTGGCAGACTATACCTAAAGTAGGATCTAATCACCACGCTATACTGTTTAGTATTAGCACTCATAGCTAGCTGCCTAGCTAGCTAAAACGATATAATACTAGACAAACAGACTAGAATACGTTCTACAAGGAGCTAGAAAAAGAGATTAAAGCTCTAGACCTAGAAGAGCGGCTACTCCAACTACCACGCCCCTCTAACTATACCTCAAGAAAGCTTATTCTAGAACAACATACCCCTCTAGAAGCTAAGCTAGACCAACTAGGAGAGGATCTTACAAAGGCTATCCAGAAATCACTAGAAACGTCAACTCTACTAGTTAACCAAAAACCAAAGCTAAAACCTTAGTGGACTAGTGATTTAAGCAGCCAAAAAAGAGATCTAAACAGGGCCTATAGAGCCTATAAGAAGGAAGCAGCAAAAGAAAATAATAGCTCACTCTACCAATGGAAACGAGAGTATCTAAGTACGAAAAATAGATATCTAAGAGCTATTAGATAGGCTAAACAGGATCACTAGGAGACTTTCCTACAAAAAGACTCACTAAAGGAAATCTATAAAGCTATGGCATATACAAAAGACAACCTTAGTACTCGAATACCTACTATTAAAAGCAAGGAGTCGTTTACTAAAAAATGCAAAGCTTTTAGAGAGGATCTTTTCCCCCTACTACCTACTACAGCTACTCCGTCTTTCTACACCTATAAAGGAGATAGAAGGTGGGATTAGCCTGCTCTTACAAGAAACGAGTGTTACACGGGGTTGGGCTATACTTCTCTGATCTCGATCCGGGTTAGGGCGAGTAGACTTAAGCGGTAAGCCGTGCGATTGTTGTCAGGCGTTATTGTGGAAAAGAGTTATAGGATTTAACTAAAAGGTAAACAATTAATTCTATACTAAGATAGAATAACAAGTATCAATCTATGTAAGAGATGAACTATTCTAAGTTAACCACAACGAGTGTAATAATGAAATCCAACACATTCTTATACCCATTGCTTCAGGTCCTGTCCTCCTATGCCTCCCATCTTGGCGGGAGGTTTGGGAGGCGCATGGCCTCCCATCCGCGCTGGCCTCCCGGAGGCCACGCCTTGGCGGGATGCCAAGTCACGTGATCCGCGCGCCCCGCGCCTGATCATTACCCGGGTGTCCTTTGACACCTTTGTTTCCCTTAGGCTGACTCCGCAACCCTTTCATGGAAACCTGTTGAGAGGAATCCTTCCTGTTT